TATAAATATATATCCGAAATAATAGAACTGGTGAATATTGAATATAAATATATCCGAAAAAATAGCACTAGTGAATATTAAATATAAATATATTCGAAACAATAGAACTGGTGAATATTAAATATAAATATATCCGAAATAATAGAACTGGTGAATATTAAATATAAATATATCCGAAACAATAGAACTGGTGAATATTAAATATAAATATATATCCGAAACAACAGCACTGGTGAATATTAAATATAAATATATCCGAAATAATAGAACTAGTAATATCAAATATAAATATATCCTATATAATGATTTACCTCACCTTCAAGCGTCAATAATCCAATCCAAATTGTGATCCAAAGAGTCTGAGAAAACATCATTTTATTTGTAGAAATCGCTTATTTCAAGAAGTATAAAGAACCTTTACGAATGCGTATCAACATGATGTTGGAAGGAATAGATCTTCCTTCGAAAACCACGTCTTCTCTGGCTGTTTTGCTTCGGAGTAGAGCCTCAATAACGATATTTTCAAACCGCGGAGAAGTAACGAGTCTGTTTCACTCGGTCGGCTCACTCCATCTGAACGGTAGTAAGAATACACGAGCCGATCTACTTCGACTTAATACAAGCTGAACGTATATCGTTGTCAGAGAGAGAAGCAAAGTAGCTACATTCCTCAAAGCTTGTGGGTTTAATGTCACGTAAAATCATCTTTGGTACGGAAAGGAAATTGCATTCTCATATCAATAGAAACGCTTGAAAAACAAATTTATAAATCACGTTTACCCTGACAATTTTACTAAACATATAGATATATATGTATTGCAGTTTGATAACACAAAATGAATAATGAAATACATACGAGTGAAAAGGAAAGAATATTTGTTTAACTTCAGATTTTATTTTAACAACGTACGTCAACCTAGCACCTAAAAAGTCAGAGTCATACTGATATCCTCCGTAATAAAACGTTAATTCCTGACTACTTTTAGCCTTTCAAATACGATAAGCGTAAGCAATTCCCCCTTCCTGACTACCTTTAGCCTGTCCAATACGATAAACGTAAGCAATTCCCCTTCTTGACTATCTTTAGCCTCTCCAATACGATAAACGTAAGCAATTCCCCTTCTTGACTACTTTAAGCCTCTCAAATACGATAAACGTAAGCAATTTCTCCTTCCTGAGTACCTTTAGCCTCTCAAATACGATAAACGTAAGCAATTCCCCTTCCCGACTACCTTTAGCCTCTCAAATACGATAAACGTAAGCAATTCCACCTTCTTGACTACCTTTAGCCTCTCAAATACGATAAACGTAAGCAATTCCCCTAAAGATGTTTAAGATTCCCGTCTTTCTCCTGAAACTTTTATATAAAGAACATTATTATGACGTAACGACACTCATTAAATCTTACTTATAGCGAATCAAAGAATAGATTAAACTTTACGTCATCTTTTTTTCACTGAAATCTACGTTTTGATGTAGAAAATAGATTCACAAATAAATACACCTTTCTTTTTATCAATGCAAAATAACATGTGGTATAAGTAGTTTTAACCTAACTCGATGCAAAATAACATGTGGTATAAGTAGTTTTAACCTAACTCGATGCAAAATAACATGTGGTATAAGTAGTTTTAACCTAACTCGATGCAAAATAACATGTGATATAAGTAGTTTTAACTTAACTCGATGCAAAATAACATGTGGTATAAGTAGTTTTAACCTAACTCGATGCAAAATAACATGTGGTATAAGTAGTTTTAACCTAACTCGATGCAAAATAACGTGATATAAGTAGTTTTAACCTAACTCGATGCAAAATAACATGTGATATATGTAGTTTTAACCTACAGAAACTTATATATCGTAATTTGTTTGTTTATTAGCGCAAACTACATAGTGGGTTATCTGCGCTCTGTCCACCGCGCGGAATCGAACCCTAGATTTTGCGCTGTAAGTCCGTAAATTTACCGCTGACCAATCGGAGGACGTGACTCGTTGCTTCAATACGCTTGTCAGGGATTTCTCCGACCCTTAAAGACAGCTCACACCACGTTGTTCACATAACTGATTTGAACATAGACTTAAAACTGACCTCTGTAACCTAATATTCCTTTTTTTTTTTCAAACACTGCCCAGCCTATTTTGTTGTTTTCAACTTTGTCAGGGGGGGAAAACGACGAATCTACTATCGTGTTAAATACGTCTTCGTCTTACGTTTGTCCTGAGTGATTAGTGTAGGCTAAGTAAGGATGCTTAGGACTGCTTTTGCATTAACAATATACTAATCACGCGATATAATGATAAATCAAGCAGGAGTTCCTTTATTTTACAGACTCTTTATCCCAGCCCTTTTGTGACTGATATAAGACTAAGCGTGTTTTGATTAATGACTTGACCAAAACTGTCTGCAATTATAAAGAAACAAAAAAAACTGGTAGTTATGGCGAAAAACCATGCCTTTGGAATTTGCTTGACGAGAGAACCAACTTCTACACATATTATTAATCAAATTAAACATTGATCCCGACAAAAGTTTAAATATTTTTACAAAACAAAAAATATTTGAATTTAGAAATACGTTTTCCTAAAATAATGGCCACAAGATGGCCTGAGAATTATTTGTTCATATAGACCCCGATTAGTACTTTCTGTATGTATATTGTGTTTGCGTTTCCGTTAAGACGTTTGATGCTTTGTTTGTTTGTTTGTTCATTGTTAAGTACAAAGCTACATAATGGGCTATCTGTGCTGTGCCCTCCACGGGTATCAAAACCCGAATTTTAACATTATAAGCCTTCAGACTTACCGCTGAGCCACTGGAGAGCTACCTATTGATTCAACAGAGGCTGGAGAATTATTATAACATACACATTACGTATACTGTTTTTTATTGACTTTCGTTTCTAACTCATGACAACAATGACTCCACTGCCATAACATAAATCATAAATCCGTCTACAAGTGATAGTAAAGTAACCGTGATGTTATGGCCGCATTAATATATATTTTTTTAAATTTCAATAAAGGGAAAATATGCCAGGACTTTAAAACTCTTAACTTCAATTATTCATTTTTAGAAAAGCGACCCAATGATTTTCACGAAGTTCACGAGACTACAATGCTCTCTTCGAAATCATTAGTGTCTTTAGCGGTACAACAGACATTAAAAATGCTTACCGTGTACATGTACTACAGGGTTATTATTATTTGCCTTGACTAGTTGTAACGTGTTCGTTCATACCTGATGGAGATATACAGATGAGCTTCGAATTCCAGGAATGCAAGATTGGCGAAGAAACTTATTATGATTCGGAATATATTGCGTCTGTTTAAATTACAGCGAAGAAAGTATTATATTGAACGTTATTCGATTATTTCTTATCGTTTGTGAAATTGGAATGTTCAGTCTGAAAAGCATGCGCACGTGCTTTTCAGAAAGGTCAAAGACCCTTAAAATACAGATATAGCCGTCCCTGATTTTGAGCAATCAAAAACACCATCCGCCACAAGAATTTTTTTCGGTTCTTTAATCATATAACGATATTTACAGTCACTTGTATAACGCGCCCACAGTTAAAAGTGCTGAGAGTGTTTAGCAACATTACGTCTCGAACCTTCGCCCGTTGGAGCCACAGCCAGTCACGCTAACCACTAGGCTACGCTCAGCCCTTACCGCAACGGAAATTCAGAGGCTATTTAGCTCTCGAATTGAATTACAGAATGATAGGTTATAAGAAAGCGAGATTGAGGAATAGTTTAAACAAGTCAACATATTAGACGATTATAATTATCAATCATTAGATACATTTTCTCATTCATATTAAAAGATGATTAAGAAAATTAATAAAACGAAACTTGGAAGAGTTTGACAATCTTAATTAGAACTAGTCTAACGTAAAGGCCTTAATAATGAGGTTTGTACAGGTTGTTAGATTTGATTGTGTTGTTAGGACAAAAATATTAATTGCCTGAAATCAGAGGAACCTTTTTTTTTACTTTTTTTATGAGACTTGTAAAAAAAGTTAAAACGTATATATATTGAAATAATGACGTTCTGGCCCAGTCTGCACCACTAGCATATCGTCCTAGTCTTAATAATTGTGAGCTTGAGAAAAAGCAGAAATATTATAATTACAAGCGGTACCTACGTCATCAGACGTAGCACATAAATTGTACTCATTATATTTTCTACAAATTGGGAGAAAATAGAGTCTAGAATTATAATGTTTCGTATTTAAAATAACAATAGTGAAAATTAATGGCAATGAAATGGATTGAAATTGAATAGTTCCTCTGTTGTTTCTTATTTAGGCTATCATTCGTTTCGAGTTCGTAACTTCCATTTTGTTTTTAAGCCCAAAGCTGCACAATGGGTTATATACACTGTGCTTAACGCAGGGATTAAACCCCGGATTTTAGAATTATAAGCCTTCAAGCTTATCGGTAAGCCACTGAGGGACCAAATTCGTAACGGTTGAGAAAAAATAATAATTTCTATATTTTGTGTACGACTTAAAATTAAATAACTGTCTAACATTACAGAAGAGACACCTCTCAGCCTAGTTCAACTGGTGTATCATGGTATTAATAGACCGTAATCACATGCAACTGCAGATCATCAGTTTAGTTATGGTGAACGCCAGTCAACATTTCAAAAGAGTACGTTGAACCAAAAATGATCATTAGTTTAGGAATGGGGAATGCCAGTCAACATTTCAAAAGAGTATTTTGAACCAAAGATGATCATCAGTTACACATTAAAGAAACCTTCTTAATACACAAGCTTGGACCTATTAAAAATGACAAATTCAATGAATGATAGGCGAGCCGGGCGTGGCATAGTTGTTAGCGCAACTAACTGTGCATCCAGGTGCCCATGATTCGCGTCCGGATAACACATAGAATCGTTATAAGAGTGACTGTCAAATCATATTATTCGATTAGAGTAGCCAAAGATTTGGCGTTGGTGCTGTTAACTAGCTGCCTTCTTCTCTCTAGTCTATCAGCTCAAAATTAGGGACGCCTTTTTCTCTCTCTAGTCTATTAGGGACATCTAGTGCAGCTAACTATTGTGTAGCTTCGAGTTAGATCAAACACAATCAATTATGGGAAGCTCTTGTTAACCATATAACAAGAAAATTGATCTCGTTTCATTCGTTCTTTTATGAAACGTCCATGGCCATATTCAATTAAAAATAATAGGGTATGAAAAGGATCATAAAACTCCAGCAAAAAAAAAAAAATGTGCTCTTTACTCGACGTTTCGATCTACAGCTTCATCGGGAATGCTGTATACAAATTCTGAAGTTTAACCGACAATATTAGGCTTAGACTGGTATTACTGTATGTGAATATTCTTAACTGAACTTAAAGCGCTCAAGAGTGAGAATGTAATCTATGTTGAAAACCACAGTGTTGTCATACTGTTAGGAAAGTATGCTCAAATATATAAGAAAACATGTAAGTATATTCTAAAGCAGGATTTTCTGGATTTGCTTGTTTATTTTTTATTAATACAGTGGATACACAGTATATACTTTTTTAAG